CGCCCGCCATTCAGGCAAGCTTGTGCCATGGATGATAGAAGCTTAGCAGTTGTTGCTTAAAAATGGTCTGACCTTAATAAAACATACATGCCATAATGTTGGCCCTCCAAGCTTTGGATAATCTTGGCTGTTCAATCCCCCAGCCTAGGTCATTTTGTACTTGTCTAAAGCTTGCCTCAAGCATGTGACAAGCTTAGTGACAAGGTTGTCCCGAAGCGCTACCAACATTGTACCAGGGTCATTTTGCCGATAGGGGAGTCCTCACTGTAATGTGAAGAAATCAAGGCCAGAAAAAACAAAACAATTAGAGTTACACAAAGTATTCAGGCAACCCTTCTAGTGTTTTTCCTTCGTTTTTTAAGATACTACAGATCATTTTCTGTTTAAAACTCTCACAAACACAATTTTTCTAACCCGACTCGACAAAAATCGTATTTTTGAAAAATGTCATATTGAGGGCAAAACTCCTCGTTTGAAAATTAAAGTTATTAGAGTAAAACAAAAAATAAAATTAAAAGAAAATAAGACTTTCCCATTCCCGACTTCCTGCTAAAATCTTGGGTGATTGAAATGGTTTTAATGAGGCAACAATTAGTGACAAGGCAATAACTTACGAATATTTTGAAAGAGCACATTTTAAGAGACTGTTGATTGGCTGAGACACTATTATAAAACTGAAGCACCTGGCTATTGTTCTCGGACGCGCATAAGGGCTTTGATGAATTTGAAGCACTTGTCCATCTGTTTATGTATTTAAGTTTGAGTTCTCTCGATAAAATTGAAGACCCTCATTTAATTTCCATTGAACAACAAATTTCAATGAGTATATCATGACGTCATACATTTTATTTAGACCCGTGAGAAGGCACTTGTCACTGAAGTACTTTTGGGTACAACACCTAAGCTTACAGCTATCTACGCGAGAGCCCATGACAATTGGATGTTTGTAAATCAAAAGGAACTACCTCAACTGTGACCTAGGCCCTAATATCTATAAAAATTTATGCATGACAGGGCTCATGTTCTAATTAAGATAGTTTCTTTGGCGAGTTATTAAAGCCCAATTAAACCAATCAAACAATTTTTATTGAAAATTCATGTGCGCGGCACACTTTGAAGTGCAGTTCAAGGTGTGCACGATCCTCCAAAGCATTCATTGCTGCCAGATTTTGCTGATAAATCAGCAGTATTCCCCATGTAAACCCATGTTAAATATTCACATTTAATGGCACAACCTGGCAAACTTGAGCACACACTCGACGAGGGGGCAGTTTCTGGTTACAGAAAAAGGATTTGTCTTTTCTTTTGCACTTGTATTTACATAAATACGTGTGACCCTCATTTGGCAAGGCATCCGAAAGTGTTGGCCGATTGAAAGGGAGTATCACACTTAAATACTTATTGAGTTTTCTCCGAGGAGTTCTCTAGGAGCTATCCTAGGAGCGCAAGGCAACAAATTTACTTTTTCAAATTACCTTAAAAATATAATATTTCTGCATCATTTGGTTGAAGACCATTTAAAACAATCAATATAATGTGCGGTATGTATCAGAGAGATATGCAACTCTCATTGCAAATAGTTTCAATGATTGTGCAGTAATGTCAATCAGGGAAGCCCCTTCAATTATTAGATAGGCAACATACACAGCACTTTTATACGGTAGCAAGTGATTACACAAGTTGTGTAGTTCGTACCAAAAAATTTCCGATTTCCCGCATTCCCGGGCACACTCTCTTCATCGTTGGCGGACAGGTTTCTCTTAGAGAGAGATTTGAAAGAACTTGAAGAATATAGATTGTGGTCAAACTCCATTAATCGGCTATAAACCTAGGTATGACCAGGGCTCTTTTTTTAAGAGTTAGGTTTTACCAAAAAAGGGTTCTCACCACGGAGTAGTAGAGCCCCAAGGGCTGGTCAAACCTAGGTCTGAAATGGGCCCGTAATTAGACTTACGTTTGACGAGGATCGAAAATTATGAATGTAGTCAAACTTTATTCGGTCTGACTGAATAGAAAATTATATGTGTATTTAAACTTACGTCTGCGTGTTGATTGTTGGAATTGATGGACAAAGCTGTTGACAAAGAAGATAAAAGAGATTTGGAGGGATCTTATTGGTGGATGTGGTGGTTGCAATAGACAAATGAGGTAGATAATAGACAAACTAACGGCAACTCACGAGAGTACCTATAATTTTCCATCATTTTCTCCTTGTGTCCATAGGAACCACCCATTTCAACCAATAGGATCGCTCCATAATCCTTACGTCTTCTTTGTCTATAGCTTTGTCTATAAATTTCAACAATCAGCCCGCTGACTGAATAGAAAATTATGTGTGTACAAACCTAGGTCTGACTGAGGCTTCTCCACGCAGACCAAGGTTTGACAGGATAGCGGTTCTCCGAGGGAAAATGAGCTTGGCAGGTTGTCACTGTGGAAATATCTTAGCCACTTAAATATGTTTTTGAATTTTAAAATATAAACAATGGAGATGATGCATGAATGAGGATTTTGCGATTTGACTGTTGATTCTTATGTAAAAGTTCGCGAGAAACACGATGGTGCCACCATCAACTCTGAAATCAACTCCCAAGCTCAGAAAAAACTCTCAAGTTGAGGCCAAGATGAAGGGGATATTCCACGCTATCCTGAGAGTCCACCTCTACATCAAGACAAACTCTCCATGCAAAGATGGGGAGCAAATACATTGACGGGGCTGCCACTTTATTTGGAGACTCTAAAACTGAAAACACGGCAACCCTGCTAATGTATTTGCTCCCTATCTTTGCATGGAGAGTTTGCCTTGATGTAAAGCTGGACTCTCAGGATAGCGTGGGATATCCCCTCCATTTTGGCCTCAATTTGAGAGCTGTTTTTGAGCTTGGGAGTTGATTTCAGAGAAAATCAGTGGCGCCGCGCCATGGTGTTTCTTGCGAACTTTTACGTATGAATCAATAGTCAAATTGCAAATTCCTCACACATGCAACATCTCAATTCTAAAAGCCCTTTTATATTTTTACATCATTAGTAATCACCTTACGCTGTTAATGTATTGCATACTAGAAACTTCTCCGTGGATAAATGATGTACTTTTACTTTTTACAAAGTACAGAGTTGAATCTTTTCCCCTTTCAACCCCTGAGCATATCAAGTCAAAACCTATAGGTTTACCTACATGCATGATTTTCTCGCCCAGTTTTTTTATTTTTTTATTTGCCACCAAAAGGTTTCAATACAGAATAAAATTACAGCAAATCGAATGAGAGATAGCACAATAGAAAACAGTAAAATTACAAGAGGTAAGTTATAACTAGATAACTATAGATTGTGTATACACTTTTGGATAGCTGCTGGAAATCGCCGTTTGGCATGTCATCAGCAGGATTCGAAGTCTGCAAAGTTGCAAACCATGATGCGTAGTTTGGGAGTTTCACAGTCGTAATGCCTTAAATAGATAGAAATCACACATAAAAGGGATGACACATGAGCCATCTGCAAAAAGGCCGTAAAAGGAGAATGAGGGAAGAAGAGAAAGGAAAAACCATGGCTTTTAAATGCTCCCAATTATTTTTTTATTAATGTCATTGCCATTATATGTGCACATTGCATGTATGTCAGTATAGAGATTTTGAGATACTAATAAGTATTAAGCGCGGATAAGGAATAGATTATAACTTTAGTGGCAAATCTTACGGCTACGATAATCAGCGTAACAACGAAGACCTTTGCAACATTTTATGCAGTCGACGTCGCAGTAGGCACCCCGTTTACCACATTTTTTGGTTAAGTTTTCTGAATCTCTTGGACACCCACGTCCTGTTGTTCCCTCTGCTGTTTCATTATGATGGCCCGTAAATGACAATGATGGTTCCTCATCGTTAACTGTTTCTACTGATGATTCGTCAGAGCCAGCATTGGATGATACCGATGGTTTTCCAATCGCAAGGTGAGCGAGGATGACCATTGAGGCAAGAGCGAAGATGATCTGGAATAGAAGAAGTAACAACGTAATAAAGTAAATAAAATATATAACAAAGTAAAAAGAAGAAGTAACAACGTAATAAAGTAAATAAAATATATAACAAAGTAAAAAGAAGAAGTAACAACGTAATAAAGTAAATAAAATATATAACAAAGTAAAAGCATGGTATGGAATTCCCAAAATTGGCCAGACTATCTCTCTCATTAGCGCAGGCACGGACTATACTCCGAGCTTATTTACGAGCCAGATATTAAAGTATAGTTGCGCAAGCTAGAGGCATGGTTAAATCAGCTAAAAGTTCGGTTGGTTTAACCATACCTGCAGCTAGTGCTCTCACAGTCAGCATGAGTGTGGTCGAATTAACGATACTGCTGGCTGGTACCTTTACACGTCTAGCTAGTGCAACCACCCTTATGGCTGGCGCCAAAATCCGCTAGAAGTACACTGCCGCGCTAAGGAAGAACGCCGTATGAGCCTTTAAGCGTTGCCAAATTTTCTCTGATAAAATACGAATTTCTTGAGGAAATTGTAAATATTTTTCTTCTAATTTTTCAGACTATTTTGTTCGCAATTTAATTTAAAATATCCGAAAATTCCAAGGAAAAATATGTATTAATTTCGTCAAAAATACATGTTTTATCAGGGGAAATTTGGCAACTCTCGAATGTTCATACGGCGTTCTCCCTTAGCACGAAAGTATAGTCGAGAATGAAATACTTTTTTTTAAGTCTTGGAATTGCGTTACAATATTTTAATATCAAATGTACTCAATAATATCAAAATTGTACTCTGTATTTTAAAATCATTAGAGTAACGCGTAACGCATATTGCGTCGCACAACGCTTTAGAGGGTTGCACTTCGAAGCGGTCAGGGAGTATGGACCGCTAGTTATAAAAATTTAGCAAAATTTCATTTAAAATTGCACTACACCATGAAATATTTGAAAATGTCTGAACATCTGCTTGTCATTATTCTCATATTCCAAGAAGATTCGTGAACCCTCTCAGAAATACAGGAGTTGCGAAACATTTCGATGGTGAAACTACCGGACCACGTATCTCGGTTTGAGAGGTTGCATACTTCCTGTCATACTTAGTTTGACAAAGGAAAAACCACGCAACGTCAATTCTTTAAGACCTCCATGAGTTTTCCTCTTTGCGCGATGAAAACTCTGTCAAAACTTCAAGGAATGATATTGATTTGTTCGAAAAAATAAAATGGGAGCGGA